AAAACTAAAAATAGAAATTGAGAAGAAGGAAAAAAAAAAAAAATCAAATCGATCGTTAATGATTTCATGCCAATATTTTTTTTATTTTTATTTTTTATGATTTTTTTTTTTAAGACGTAGAAAAAAATAAAAATTGAAAAAAATTTCACCTCCTCTTTCCCCCCCTCCTCTCCAAATTCCCCCCCCCGCGGATTTTGCAAGGTATGAGTTTCTTTCGGGGATAATTATTTAAAAAAAAAAAAAATAATTGAACCATGATTTTTTTTTTTTTTTTTTTTTGTTTTTTCTCATTGCCTTGAGAGGGAATTTAATGATCATAATGATGATGATGATGATGATGATGATGATGATGATGATGATTTTCAATGACAAATATCGACGACCGGGTTGTAAGAAATCAATGTTGGTAACCGTGTTTTTTATTTTTCGATCATCTGGGTTTGGTGATGGATGAGTTGTTGTTGACCGTGAAATTTTTTTTTTTTTTTTGTTTGGCCTAACGCGGACGATCAAATGAATAAAACCTTGTAACAGTTTAAACGAAATGCGGGGTGGGGGGGAGGAGGAGGACAAACAAACATGTCGCATCTGTATAATATTTTTATGTTTCGGTGGGGTGGTGGTGGATTGTCGCGGTCGTGCCCATCATCACTCCCGATGGTCATCACTTTATTACGTTGATTTCCGCCATCATCCTGTCCGCGACAATTACGCGACCGAATTGATGATTACGAGTTTTAAGGTCAAGATAAATAAATAATAATAAGAATCGCCATTTTTTTTTTTTTTTTTTTCGAATCTTTTCGATTGAGTTGATGATTTTCTTTTCATTATTTTCATTTTGCCTTCACATTATTATTATTATTATTATTATTATTATTATTATTATTATTATCAATTATAGATAATAATTTAAAATTACAGGGTTTAAATTTATACGCGAATTCCCCGTCACCGTTGTTGTCGTCACCGTCGTCGTCGTCGACGTGCGACTTTTTTTTTTAAAAAAAAAATCATTATTTTATTTTTAAAATTTTTTATTCGTCGAACGTCATTTCTACGAATTGTCGAAGTGGAAATAGAAAGAAAAAAAATTTGTGGAAAAGAAAACGAAATTCGGAAGTGGGATTTATTTTTATAAATTTTATTCGATTCTCGAATTTTGAAAAAAAAAAAAATTTTTAGCACATGTATTCACAAAATAAATAAATAAATGAGAATGAATATTTTTTAAAAAATTTGTTTGTTTTCCCTCTCTCTCTCTCTCTCTCTCTCTCTCTATCTCTCTCTGTCGCAAATGAAGAGAGACAAAATAAGGGTTGATCCTTCATCAAAGTTTTTCTCTCTCTCTCTCTCTTTTGTTTCGTCATTAAAATTGTGGAGGCCCTACTTTATGGTCGATTTAATTTTTTAAAAATAATAAATAATTTTGTTTTAAGTAATTCGTTTGTTTCCGTTTCGGAAATTAGGCGTGACTTATTTTAATTTTTTTTTTTTTAAATAAAATAAAAAATTTTATTTAATGTAATGGAGGAATAAGTTGAAGGGAAATTTTAATTTTGTACGTAAACGCGAATATAAATAATATGTAGAAAAATCCTTGGGTTTTTTTTTTTGGAGTTCATTTGATTCACCTTCGTCGTTTGTTATTGTTGTTGTTGTATCATTTCCTGCGTTAAAATGCAATTTAATCTTTTGTGTGTTTTCCCAAATTTTTTTTTTTTTTTTTGTTATTAAATTCACACGAGTGGAAAATGGAAAGTTAAATATGTTTAATTGTTTTTGTGAGAAGGGTACTAACCTCGATCATGCTCTCGTTTTGTTATACGAATATAGCACCCCTGAAAAATTAGGGGGAAAAAAAACTACATTCTGCCGTAAAATTAATTTTTTTTTTTTTTTTTTTTTGTAAATTTTAGACAGAGTGCTTCAGTGCCTACGTCTTACTCCTCCAGGTTAGCAGAACTTCACAACACGACAAGCAGAATAACAAATAAAGAACGATCCGACGTAATCGATAATATAATTACCTACCGAAGGTCAAGTAAAACGGACAGCGATGTGGCGGCCACATTGGAAAAATACGGCGTGAAGACGACGGCGGATTCATTCAGGCTACGCAACGAGTCAACGCCCAACAGATATTTGAATTCGTCGAGTCTCGATTCGAAATATTCATCATCGAATAGCAGCAATAGGAAACTTTGCGGAAGTTCGAATTTGGAATTGTCGAAATTGAGTTCGTCATCGAAACCTCCCAAATCGGGATTGAATTCGAGGCTTCAGAGAAAGGACAGCCTGACGAAATCCGAAAGCATCGATAACAACCTGAGCCCGGTTTCAAGTCTCGAACGGAAAATCTCATCAAGTGCCGTGGGTGGTTCTTCTTCTTCTTCTTCACCGACAGATATTCGAAAACCAGAGGTATGGGATAAAAAATTGTCCGTGAGCTACGGTGAAAATATGTCGAGGGCCATTTTCGATAATGAGTTTTTCCGTAAGGTAGATAATAAGAGTCGTCAATTGACGAGGGTAAACGGTAGGGAAATGGACGAGGAGAAGGAGGAGGAGGAGGATGAGGAGGATGAGAATTCGGTTTTTTTAGAAAACGTTAAAAACGATGAGAAAACGTTGACGTTTGAGGAAATTCGTAAGAAATTTGACGGTACGGACGTTACCACATTGAAGGGAGGTTTCGACATCTCCCGGAAATCTAGTCAGGATGAATCCAAGGCCTCGATAAGTAACGGGGTCATTTTAGGTGTACATAATTTTGGTCAGATTCAGTACTTAGATCGAAGTTGTAAGAATAAAAAAGTTGTCGTTGATAATTTTGCCGACGATGACGAAATGCCGGAAATCGTCGAGAGCAACAATTCTGACTTAAATATTCCTTTTTCTTCCCCACAGACCCTACGGAGAACAGTTTTAAAACCCATTCCCAGCTCTGTTAAAAACGTGCATAGCAATTCCGTTTTGCGAAAATCTTCCGATGCAAATGGAGAAGTCGTGAATAGTAATTTTAAAAAAAAAAGTTCTCCAGAACTTAAAAAAAATGTAAATTTATCTCCCGAGAAAAAACAGGGGACTTTTTCCAGTCTCGTCAAACTCCCGGCCATTCCTTCTGCCGACAGCGATTCCGGAGACGTAGATAAAAAATCGATGGAAAGCACGTCATCTTCGAATGTTATGGAAATCAAACGGGATGCGAGGAACGCTTGCATCAATTCGAAACTCGGTATCGAAAACAGAAACGATTTGAAAATTTCACCCAAAGTCAAAGGTGAAAAATTGCTGACGAAAATCGAACAAACGTTGTCGAAGCAAATGGATTTGGACAACGACATACTCCATTCATTGTCGAAAATAAAAAAAAGTCCGGAGATCAAGTCGAAAGATTTCGAAAATCACACGAAAGTGATCGAGTTGAGAAGGATCGAGCAAAATGCAATGTCGCCTTTCGAAATCGAGGGTAAAAAAATCAAGGACGAAATGAGAGACAAACAACAAACGGAATCGCCGATGAGGAAAACGGTTGAAAAATCATCCGGGGTCACGAAATCGGTCAAATTGGAAAAAGTGGCAAAAGGTTCTCCATCCCCATCCCCATCGACGACGATGACGACGACGACGACGACGACGACGACGAAAGAAATATTGAAACATTTGGTTAAAGACGAGGAAACGTTTGAAAATGTCGAAATGAAAGCAAGTCCGAGTCCGAAAGAAGATAAAAATTCGTTGAACATAAGAGAAAGAGAATTGAATAAGAAATTGATGGAAGAACTCATTACCAAAGATGTTAAGTCCTTGAGGAAAGAGGAAAATGCGGAGGGCGTGATACTCGCCAAAGAAATGCCCATGTGGGAAAAACAGGACGTGTCCACAAATTCAAACAGTAAATCATTCCCTGGACAAGCAAGCACGAGTCATAATTCGAATCCGCATTCCTTCAACGATAGGGTGGTGGTAAGTCTTTGGTTTTGTTTTTTTTTTTTTGTGGCTTTTTTTTTTTTTTAAATAAGTATTCCTTGTAGATTAAACCTATTTTTTATTCAACGGAAAAAAAAAAACACGTGTTGTAAAAAGCATCGATGATCACACGAACACAAACACGTGTGATCCGTGAAAAAAAATCGTCTGCTTTGAATCATTCACAATTGATTCATGTGAAAAATAGGTTTAACCTACAATTAATTAAAAACCTGGTTTTTTGCAGTCGCGAAGAAAACAAAGGGAGGGAGGGAGGAGGGAAGGGGAAGGGAGGGGGCAAAAACGTCTTTGCCTGACAGAAAACCAGGTTTACTTGCATGAAAAAAAAAAAAAAAAAAAAAAAAAACCGTTGAATATTGTCGTTTGTCGAATCGTAGAATGTCGTCGCCATTTTTTTCTGCGTTCATATAACGTTCATTTCTGAAAAAGAAATGAAAAATTTAAATCGGTTCAAATATTTATTTTTGTTCCGACGTCAAAAAACGTGTGACGGTTTCTTTTTTTTTTCGCGAGTGACGTCATTTAAAAAAAAAAAAAACGGTTCGCGCGAGATATTTTTTGCCAAATCAAAATGGCCTAAATAAAATTAATTTTTAGTTTTTTTTTTTTCTTAAAAATTGGTCGGATTATCAAAAAGTGTCGAAGAATTTATCTCTTTTTAAAACCGGGGGTGGGGTGGGATAGAAAGAGAGAGAGAGAGAGAGAAACAAATGGGTTTATTATTCATTTTCGAACCTGAAATGATTTTCTCTTTTCAAAGTTCGAGTTCGTATAACGATAAAAACGTCACGGCGTACCTGTTGCGTCGATTCGTGCAATCTCTATGGGTTATTTTACTACTCGCATCCCTTTTATCGTTTGCCGTGGGTACTTTGGCAGTTTTCAATATCGGAAAATGTGATTCGCGTCGAATCGCGAAAGAGTCGGGAGAAAAGTGTAGGAAAAATTTTCCGGTAGGAGATGCATATCGTCAAGTGATACCTGAAAAGGTACTTTTTCTTTTTTGTTTCCCCCCCTCGTTTTTAAATCGTATCGTAAAAAATGATAATGATAATAAAATAATGGCGGAAAGTTGAATCAAACGCGGCGGCGGCGGCGGCGGCGGCAGGTTTCCTGTCGTTTATAACAATAAGAAAAAAAATTTTATTTAAGTGTTTAATTAATGAGTGTCACGCGTGCATGTTTAACTCGATGAGATCCCGAGGGATTAATAAACTTTTTAGTTTTAAAAAACAGAAAACAGAAAAAAAAAAAAAAGCTTTGACTGTTGGTTTGTTTTGTTTGTGCCACTGCTGCTGCTGCTGCTAATAAACGCTTTAATATTAAATAAAAGAATACGTCGGAAAAGCCAATCACTTTCACGTGGAAAAAAAAGAAAAAATTTCACCATTATTCAATCCGATTGAATTTTTTTTTTTTCATTCTCATTTTCATTCTCATTCTCATTCTCACAATTCATTTCGCTATCATTTTCATTCACATGTTGTTATATATATAATAAATTACGAGCGAAAGATTGTTTGTTTAATTTGCTAAAACAATAGATTATAACATGATTGTTTTGCAATTGGAAAAAAAAAAAAAAAAAAAAAAAAAAAAACGTGGCAGAAGAATGTGTGTGCGATGGCGTCACATTAACGCTGCTTAAATTTTTTTTTTTTTTTTTTTTTTTTTTTGTTTTACTTTTTCTCATAATATAATAATAATTGTAGACGAGTGCCAAGATTTTACAGGGCACGGATAAGGAAAGAGAAAGAGATAGACTCGAAAATCTATTTCATCTTTCTTTCTTTCTTTCTATTTTTTTTTTTTTGAAAGATGGAAGGTATAGTATTCTTCGGAAAAGTCTCCATTTTTTCTTGTTGTTGTTGGACAAAAACACGGCGTGAGCGAGCAGTGGCAGGAAGGAAAATAGGGGGAAAAAGAAGATTTCATACGGACGCGTTGTTTGTTGCTTGTCGTTGTCGTGGTTGTCGTCGTATTATTTTTTCCCCCCTTTTTTGGTAAAAGGGGAATAAGAAAGGTTCGAAACGTTTAAATCGGTATTTGAAAGGTTCCCCGACGACAATTTTCGGGGGGGAAAAACAAAAAAAAAAAAAAAAAAAAAGAGGAAAAAGGAAAAACCCTCGGGAAAGAGAAACTTTTTCCGTTCAAAAATTCTTTTAAAAAAAAAAAAAAAAATGTTTTAAAAACAAAAATTGCAAATGGTTGTTGTTATTATTATTATTATTATTATTTACATACAATAAATTTTTTAAAATGTGAACGAGAAAAAATTAAAAAGAGAAGAAAAATTATAAAAGTTATTATTATTATTATTATTATTATTATTATTATTACGACTCGGTTAATTTTTCTAAGATTTTTTTTTTTTTTTTTTTTTTTTCATTCGCGTTTTTAATATTCGCATTGATTTATTTACGTTTCCCTTTTTTTCCCGTAGGATAATTTGGGACTGTCGGGAAATTCGCCAAGATCGAGTGCAGGAAAAAATCGCAACGTTTCCTCGACGGAAAAAGGAGGCCTCAATGGTCTTAAAAATATTGGCAACACCGTAAGTTTACTTTTGTTTCTTTCTTTTTTTTTTTTAACTCGAGAAAGAATACGGATGGTTAGGTACGGTTAGGTTGTCTGTCACGTGTACCTGTCGATTTGTTTTTTTTTTTATCATTCCAGTGTTTTATGAATTCCGTTCTTCAATGTCTTAGCAACACGAAACCTCTTTTGGAATATTTGCTCCATGAGGAATACATGACGGATATTAATTTCACCATATCGGCAATGAAAGGCTCATTGATCAAAGGTATTCAGGGGTTTTTTTTTTTTTTTTTTTTGATTTTAAGGTTCCGAAATATTATAAGCAGACGATGCGATTAAGTAATAATTTGGTTTATTTTTTTTTGTACTATTTATTAGCTTTTTCGAACGTCATTCAAGAACTTTGGGCGCCCAATGCCGAGGATAAAATAATAAACACGACAAATTTTAAATCGCAAATTCAAAAATTCGCACCGAGGTTTATGGGTTACGCTCAACAGGACGCTCAGGAATTTTTGAGATACCTTCTGGAAGGTTTACACGAAGACGTGAACAGGGTGACGGTTAAACCGCAGCAAATATTAACGGATATTGATGATTCATTAAGGTCGGTTGGTTGGTTGTCTTGTCGTGATTTTGTTTCTCTTTTCTCACTTCACTTCACTTCCGGTTGAGTTGAATTATCGAATGACGATGACGAGAGGAGTATGGGTGTGTATATATTTTTTTTTTTCAGTGACAATCAAAAGGCGACGGAAGCATGGAAAAGATATCTTCGAATGGACGATTCCAAGGTCGTGGATATATTTGTCGGTCAGTTGAAATCCACGCTTCAGTGCACGGTTTGCGGTCATTGCTCTGTCACGTTCGATCCGTTTTGGGACTTGTCATTGCCCGTGCCGAGCAGAACGGGTCAACCCAAGTTGCAATCTTGTTTGGACGCATTCACGAAAGAGGAAGTTTTGGACGGGGAGGAAAAGCCAACGTGTTCAAAGTGCGAAACGAGGAGAAAATGCACAAAAAGTTTTTCTATACAGAAATTTCCAAAAATTTTAGTTTTACGTATCCTTTTTAAGTTTATTTGATGGATCGTAGAGGGGGTAAGGGGGGGAGGGGGCACGTTTGCTACGGTTAATTGTTTTTTTTTTTTTTTCCCAACGACACGCACGTGTTATAAATTTTTTCTTAACTTGAAAAACAAAAACAAAAACAGATTTGAAAAGGTTTTCGCCCACGGAAAGATACAGAGGAAAACTTTCGATAACCGTCGATTTTCCACTCACCAACTTGGATCTTAGTCCATACGCAGCAAATAAAGGTCAAGGATGCACTTATAATTTATACGCAATCAGTAACCATTCGGGTACGGCCTATGGCGGTCACTACACGGCTTATTGCAAGCATCCGTATTCAGGAAATTGGCACGAGTATAACGATTCTAGGTATTATTGAAACCAAAACACTTGTCGTTTCGTCGAAACTAATCCTTTTTCCTCTTGCCCCTGCCTCCTCCTCCTCTCCACCCACCATCATTCGAAAATAATCCTTCGACCGGCGGGGGAGGGGTGGGTACCAGAAAGTTTCCCAAATTTCATATATATCCGTTCGAACGAAACGATCGTATTCATTTTTTTTTTTCTCTCTCTCTTTTTCTATCTCTCTCTCTTTCTCTTTCTCTCTACAGAGTTTCGAGCCTGTCAAGCAGAAGCGTAGTATCCGGCGAAGCATACGTTCTTTTTTACGAACTAGCGACGCAAACTTCACATCTCTAGTCAACAACGCATAAACTTATTTAAGATTTTAAAAAAAAAAAAAAGGAAAAAAAAAAATTATTTATTTTATATTCTTCATCTTTATTATTATTATTATTTATTATTATTATTTATTATTATTATTATTGTTATTATTATCTTTTTTTTTTCGAAGCTTTATATACATCCTAATGTAATTTTAACTATATAAATTTTTTTTTTTTTTTTTTTTTCGAATTATTTTTTCGAATTAGTTTAAAAAATAAATAATATTAAAGTATTATTATCATTACTGCTGCTATTATTATTATTATTATTATTATTATTATTATTATTATTATTATTATTATTATTATTATTATTATTTTTAATAAATATAAATATTGACGAGAATTCGCATAAACGTAAATAATCACGCGCAACGTGTAACCAACCACGTTTTTAAATTTTTAAAAATAAACTAAAACGCTTAATAACAAATAATGATGATAAACTTATTGATGTACCATCGTTTTCACTGATTGATTGATTGAATTCATTCATTCATTCATTCAGTCTATCATTTTGTATAAAAAATTATTTATTTATTTACTTTTTTTTTCTGATTTGCGTAAGAATTTATATATTTTTTGAAATAGTTTTTATTTATTTATTTATTTTATTTATTAATTTATTAATTTATCTATCTATCTATCTATCTATCTAATCTATCTACTGCTATCTATTCATTTTTTAGTATGATAATATACATATATATATATATATAAATTATGTTTTATTTTTGTTTTTGTTTTATTTTTGTTTTTATTTATTTTTGTTTTATTTATTTATTATTATTATTATTATTATTATTATTATTATCCACCATTAAACACGACAAGGCTACTTGTCGGAGTTTTTTAAGTATTTATCCGAGGTTTCTACCCGATTCCTTAGGGACAAATACTCGAATTTCGGTGGTGCCACTTATTATAAGATAGCACCACATCAATTCTTGAAGGTCTTCCTGAGTCCATCTTTATTCGATGGGAACGATTTGTCTCCTGACCTGGGCTCCGGTGACTAACATCTTTGGAGTGGCCAGGGTCAGAAGCAGTGAAATTCACGTTCTCGTCGAGCTGCCTCAGGTCGACAGTAGAACAAGATTTGTTTTTGGTTCTTACTTTGTCTTGTTCTCATTTTTTTTGCTCTTTTTAAGCCAACAGCACGTGGCGTTCTCAAACGGTCACCCATCCAAGTTTGCACCACGCCCGATGCTGCTTAACTTCGGTGATCGTACGGGAACCGGTGTGACCAGCACGCTATGGCCGTTGGCTTTATTATTATTATTATTATTATTATTATTATTTTTTCGTCGTGTATAATTTGTGTCACGATAATACGAATGGTGATAATAAAATTAAAATTTTAAATTTATTTCGCGGTTTTTTTCTTTTTTTTTTTTTTTTTAAAAAAGTTTTTAATTGTTTTATCATTATTATTATTACTAGTATCATCATTTTAATTTTTAGCTGTTGTTGTTGTTTTTGTTTTTTTTATTGTTGTTGTTGTTGTTGTTGTTGTTGATGAATGTTAAAAGTTTTATTTTCAAACATTTTACTATTATTATTATTATTATTATTATTATTAACATTAATAATTAAAAATTGCGATTATAATTTTTTTTTGTTTTTGTTTTCAAATATTTTTCGGAATTTTTTTTTGGTTCTTTTTTTTTTGTTGTTGTACGCCGGAAATTGTAAACTTTAATTTTTTTTTTGAAAATTGTTACTTCCGGTTCTTTTTAACGGTTTTTTTGTTGTTGTTCGTTTTTTTAACGCTTTTTTTGTAGCTTGTGTAGTTTTGTTTTGGAGCACGAGAAAAAATTTATATGCTTTTTATTATTTTAATTATTATTATTGTTGTTGATTATTTACGTAGTTGTTGCTGTTGTTGTTGTTGTTGTTGTTGTAGTTGCTGTTTTTGTTTTATTTAATAATTTTTTAATTTTATTTTTAGAATCCTTTGTTTAGTCACAACATTAAATTAATCGTCGACTAATTTAGTTTTATAAAAAAAAAATAATCGAATTTATTTATTTATTTATTTATTAATCGGCATGTTATTGCGTTGCATAAATTTAATGCACGTTCGCTTATTGCATCAGATAAATAATTTAAAAACTGTTTAAAAGGAAAAAAGAAAGGAAAGAAAAAAGAAAAATTAATTTTAGTGACGTCATTCTCTTCGAAAAAGAAAATGGGAAAAATCAAAACAATCGGAATAAACGATAATAAAACGTATGTAAATTGTACATTTACCACATGTAATAATCAATATCAATTACTTTTTCCCCCTTCTCTCTCCCTCTCTCTCTCTCTCTCACTCACTCTCTCCCTTTCTCACTCACTCACTCTCTCCCTCT